AGGGGGGGGGGTTGTCTACGTTACGGTGCTTGCTAATTCGCTGAGAATTTGTTCTTTTTTCTGTGTTGTTGTTTTTGTTGTTGTTTTTGTAGTCCTTTTTGTTTTAAATTCTATCTAAGGAATGAAAAGGGGTATTATTAGACCTAGCTATAAAATGCCCCTCAATCAAATTGCCCTGGAATGCAAACACACAGTCACCAGAACGAGTTCTCCGGTTGGCAACACAGTCACAACATAATCAAGACATCGATGATTTGATTTATCTCTTCGCATCGGTACAGTTTGTGAGGGCAACTAACTACTTCATTGGTTTAAAGAAAAGAGTTGGAAAAAGTTGCTTTTGAGTAATAGTTTCCTGGAAGTTACAGCGAACACGGCCACATATCTCCGGTAACAGTTTCTTTAGGAATATAGATCTAGTATCACTGGAACGAAACGAAGACAAAGCACACGTTAATACGGCACATCCTCCAGTCACAAACATTTTTTTTAGTTGAGGTTTTAGGACGCTCTCAACAGCATAAGGTCATATGAGAGCCAGAATAGATTAGAGGTGCTACAAGAGAGTAACAAACATAAAAAGGAAGAAGGGGAGATAAGGAAGATAGATGTTTGATAGGAAAGAAGATGCAAACCACACCAGAGCACCCGCCAACCTCCCACTGTCACAAACATGCGCATCGTAAAAAGAAAACTAAAAGGAAAGGGGGTGGGGGGTAGAAAGGTTTAATATGAATCATATTAAAAGTACATTTTTCCATGGAGACAATTCTGTCTGATCGATTTAAGAGTCTAACAGTTGAGAGACAAAAAACAATATCGGTCTAGTTTGAAGGAAGTCGTATTTTAATGTATTGTTTGATTTTCATTTTTTTTACAAATTATTGCAATAGTCTTCATGTTCAATTCTTCATCTTTTAATATGCAACTATGTCAAAATAATGCCTCGTTTTTGGTTTCTTTCTTTTCTCTGGTTTTTTGTGGGGTCTGGGGTCTGTTGTTGTTGTTGTTGTTGTGTAGCTTTGAGTCACACCTCATCTCCTATCCCCTACCCCCCATCCCCACACACACACACCCCGTCCCAACCCACTTTCCACTTTCTTTCCAGATACAAACAGGACTGAAATGTATGAAAATGCAAACAATCCGCGGACAGATATTTAAGCGTGAGCCGCTCTCACAACAGTCCAGCGACAGTCAGGTAAAATGACCACACGTCAAGAACAAATCCAAACAGGAAGACACCACAGGCCAAACCACAAGGAGAACACTCCACCAGGAGGAGAGAATTAGAATTCCTCTAAACGCCTTCCGCCAGCAAATCTCGCCAAATGAGGCATCGGGTTTTTCGACTCCGCCACGGAGGACGACAGTGATTTCTCGGACAG